TACCTGACCCTCACCAACCACCTACCAAATGAAATAATTCTGACAGAAACCCACAACCATTACACTGTTTGTTTCCTCCACATGCAGAATAAATTCTGTATCGCAAATGGGCAACATGGAGGGGCCTACAAACACCACACTCAGCTCAAACTTACTGCCCTCACACCTCCTCCAGAATCCCACTAAAGGACTTCTTCTCAGATCAGACAGGCAAGAGATACAACATGATGGTTTCATAGCATATGGGAACGTTCTGATGAGTTGTACTGGGAAAAGCCAGTGACTGACAGCACCTAGAAAAGAGTTGTGACCTTGAAAGCCAAGTTTCATCCAAAAGGCTGTAGATGCAGCAGCATCCCACTGATGGTTTGCCCCATGGACCTTATGGGACCAATTTTCTGTATATACCCAAGATGAAAACAAGCTTTGTTCATATAGAAATAGTGGATTTTGCAGGGAAAAGGGCCAGTAATTGTTCCACCGTTGCTTAATTTAGACACAGTAACTTAGAGAACAAAGCATGCATGGTTGGTGTTAGACAAGGAAAGGACACATCTTTCTGTCGGAACTACAGCAGCAACTTCTGCTTTCAGAGAGGCGACAGCAACATCCTTTGCTCATACTCATACCTTGATGCCACTTGCTTCTCTCCCCTCTGCTGCCTGCCTGGCCCACTTCCAATCTAAACTCTATTAGGCTTGTCTTAGCGCACAGCTTCTTCCTTTTCTAATGACTGTTCTGTGATGTTTATGTACCGCATACACTAGGAGCAACCACTGCTGCTGCTGTGTACAATCATACAACCAGTCACCAGGGTATACTACTGTATTTTAGCTACACACTAGACTTTTGGCACACAACCCAAAGACTTCTATGTAGCATGTAAGGGATGTACAAAGCTTTTGCCCATTTACTGTTGCAAATGTGTATTATCTTTTACTCTGGCATCACATATCTGGGAAACTTAACACATATATGCAGAAATGTGGTTTTCAAATTCATAGGATTCATATGCAAAATTGGTGGGTAGTGGCAGACCATTTGAGAGAGAGAGATGGAAAAAGGAAAGCAAATAAAGTGCGAGCAGGTTTGCCTAGCAGTGGAATGGGCAGACTGAAGCTCAACCTAGTATCCCAGGTATGGTGGGTACTAATGGACTAGGTAGAAAAGAATGAATCAGGAAGCTAGGAAAGGAAGCTGCCAGAAGCATCTGAATGTATCTGAAATGCTGCACTCTTATTTCCAGCATGACTTACATTTGTCCTGCACAGAGTTTGGCTATATGATCATTTAAGCCCTCAGCTGGTTGTTCACATGGGTTCGGAGGGTGCATGAATGCACAAGATGCATTAGCAACACAACATAGACACCAGCCTCAGAGGAATGCCACAGATGTTCGTTGTGTTCAGCATAAGCACCTCTGCAAGGAAAGCTTGTATGACCAGGCTCACATTCCTCCATTAGAGCTTAACTATTGAAGCAAAGTCAAGGAAATGCCAGGTTCTTCAAAGAAGAAAGCCTTGAATTATGCAACAGGCTGAGGAAGCTAGGAGACCCAGACAAGGCTAGAAACATATCAAGGGAGGGGATCCCGAAGGACTTGGGATCAAAGCGGAAATTCTCAGCATTTGGTCTGACCACGCTGTAAGCTGCTGCTTTCCACACACTGTTCTGCCCAGCAACACACTCCAGCCCTGCAAGTGAACTGTGCCTCCAGGAAGCCTTAAGTCTTAAGGCTTCCTTAAGGCTTAAGGAGAAGAGACTGAGCCGAGATGGGATAGCACCTTTCCAGTGCTTGGAAGGCTGTCACACACAAAGTGGAATGACGGGCTCAAGTTAGGGAAAGCCCAGTTCCAGCTGAACTCCAGGAAAAACCTCTGGACCATTAGCACAATGCAACCAAAGAAATCCATTACCTGAGGAGGCTGTGGACTCTCCCATACCTGAGGCATTCAGGAGGGTGCCTTCTGTCATGGAGGCTTTAAACTGGGAGTCCTGTGTTAAGCAAGGTGTTCGATCCAATGGCCTTGCTCATCCCTTCCAACTCTACTATTCTGGGATTCTTTCTATTGCCTTCTTTTTCTCCATTTTTGGGAGGGTGGGGGGGGTGGGAAATACCTGATGTTCATTTTAATGGATTTTATTTGTCTTCACTGGGACATGTATTTAACATGAATCCCACTTAAACCAGAACTTTAAAAATGTTGGCATGGTCTTAATCCCCTCAGCCTAGTGTAATAAGACGATGCCTGGCACAGTTAGGATCAGGTTATCATTAAAAATAAAACCCTCGGGCATCCAGGGGACTCCTGATTGTATTGGCCTCCTACTCCCATCAGCCCTCGTCACTATAGCCAATGGTAGCGGATGATGGGACATGCACCCTGACAAAAGCTGCACAAGTTCCCCACACTTGTTTTAAAGGCTAATGTATTTTGCAATGAAATAATCAACAACCCAATGGTGCTGCAAAAGAGCAGAAATGCAGAAAGTGCTTTTCTTCACAATCAGCAGCATCTGTGCCACATCGAGTATATCAACCAAGTCATAATCAGAGTATATTCATATCAATAACTACAGGAGTGCTGCCCATTAAATGTTAATACTTGTTTGGGAAATATGTCTGAGTTTAAGATGCCATTAAATGCTGTTGGTCATTAAGTTAAGCTTATGTTTCCCCCCGTGGACTATTTGCACTTACAATGAGTTCCCTAAAGCGGCATCTTCTTGCAAATATTATATTTCCCCCATACAAATTGATATGCATGCATGCCATAATGTTCATAACCAAATGAAAATGTAGCTGGCAGTCAGCCCATAACTATTTCTTGTGTGTATACAAAATTGCACTGTTACTTCTCACATGGATATGTAAAGGGACGAATGCAGCTGCATTCACTTTCCTTGTAGTTTTAGCAACAAACTGGGAAAGAATAAGATATTACTCTTACAGGGCTGATATTGCAGGGGGACATGCCTTGTAGAACATGCCCACAAAGGACATTGATCTTACTGATAGTCTCATTCTCTGGCACTTGACTGCACTGCAGATGTTCTGGGATCCAGTGGAACCTCAGGAGTGAGTCTGGCAAACAGATTGCGGTGGTCCATGAACAACATGGAACCAAATCATGAAACTGGTATCATTCATATCCCTGGGGATGCAGCTAGTTTTCCGCTCTGTCCATCATAAAATCTGGCCAGACACTCTTCCTTCTAGTGGCCTTTGGATGTTGTATCTATCAAAGTTTTAGGATTCAATCTACGGGGCATATGAGATGTTACTTTTATTCCATGGTTAGAAACCACATCTAGGCCAATGGGAGGTTTTTCCTACTCCTAATTGCAGCATGATAAGGTGCTCTTTTGTTGGGATCACAGCTACAGAGGGAAATGTTAAACCTCCTCTCCTCATGCACTGCTATCCAGAATAGAAACACCAGTCACACACTGAATATTCGACTGGGGAAAAAAATCCAACAACCAGAGGTAGCCAATAATCACACGACACTACCATATCTAGCATAAGCCATCTTTTGCAGGAAACTGCTGACTGACAATAACCTTGGCTTCACAGACCGAACCCAGATTTAGTCATCCTCCATAACTCCTAACCTCAGGCCCTGGCACCTCCAGTTCAATGATTTCAGGCAGCAGGGCTGAACAAGCCTGAAGCCCAAAGAGCCACTACCAGGCTAAAAGAGACCCATGATCGGGCACAAAACATGGCGGTTTTTATTTATTTATGTATTTATTTAGAAAATTTCTAGGCCGCCCCATTCGCCGAAGCCGGTTTTGTCTCTTATGCTTTTAATCCAAAGATGGGGAGATTCCTTGGCAGAAGAACACCACCTGAGCCCTCTCAGGCTTGCACTGGCCAGAACCGAAGGTCCAGGGCTGGCATCCCCTACCCCTTTCCTTCTGCTTCTTTGCTCGACCCTTGCTTCTAACAGGACGAGAAAGAATGCCAGCTTCAGGGCTGCCATCGTTCTCCCCATGGTCCCGAGGCATGTCTGAGGAAGGGAGACTTTCTGGATGCAGCAGAGCCAAGCCTTTCTGGGACCCACCCTGGGCACTCCTCCAGAAGGCTCCATTTTAACTGTCACTGCCAGCAGAGGACCAGCGTTGGGGAGGCCTTGGTAGCACAAAGTCTGCCGCCATCCACACAAGGCCTCTGTGCACAGGCAGGCAGGTCAAGACTTTCATATGGACCCCTCAAATGCCCTCCTGGGGACCACCAACTTGCCCTCCAGTGTTTTCCAATTTCTCCCCACCTACTTCGATTTATCAGACTCACAGTGTTTCATTTTTCCACGCAGGAAAAACACACAATGGACAAATTCATCAACATGTCCCCAGAATAAAGCAAGATTATTATCTTGCTCATATATATGAATATGTAATGCAATATGAGGTTTAAGAGTTATTTAACAAGACTCCCAATGTTCACATACTTCAAAGTGTTACAGATAACATCTCTCACTGAAACATAGCTTGATATCGCACATCTACACACTTCCTAAATTGCCATTCCAGCATTTTCCCACATGGGGGAAACACCCAACCCTGCTGAAAAGAACTGCATCAGTTTGCTTGACACGGCAGTCCATGCTGCCTGCCTTTTCATTACAACAGGTTGCTCTTCCAGAGAATGCCTGCTATTCAACAGCAGAGCATGGGGCATTTAAACAGTGTGAGGCTGCCCAGCCAGGAGCCCAGGGGCCACACGCAGCTGCCGAGACCTGAACTGTGTCTCCCCACGCAGCCAGTCCTGAGTTGCAATCCTGGCACGGGCCACTTTTTCCACCCACATTTGAGACCAGTGAGAAAAGAGCTCTCTGTATCAGGGAGAGGCTGGCACATGTGTGCATGTGTTTGGTCTCTGCCTGCGCATACACACGGCCCCCAAGCTGCCATCACATGCAGCCCTCAGAGCTGGAAAAAACCTGATATAATGGCACAATCCAGCAAATCCCACAAGCTGTGCTTAGCTGCAGTACCTTTGCTTCTTCGGTGCTTTCTGCCACCATGTATGTGAAGCTGATGTTCACCAGATCCGTGTCGCTACAGATGCACACAATACGTCCTTCCAGTTCATTTTCCGCTTTGCCAACAGCCTCAAGAGCAGCTAATATTTTTGGATCCTGTTAAACACAAGAAATGCATTGTTAGACTATCCAAGACTAAAAGAAGGAATTCCGCTTTTGTTGTTCTAGTCATTCCAAGAATGCAACCTGTAAGTGTTTCTTCTTCGCTTTTCCTTAAATATCCTGTCAAAATTTCAGCTGTGCTGCCGGAAAACCTTCATAACTGCTTGTTCAACAGCACGGCTGAAATATGAACTATATCAGACACAATGGATTGTACAGAGGCCTGATTCATAGGGTGAAACCCTTCTGTGCCAGAGGACTGGTGGCACTTCATTCATGCTCTACATACCTAACCACGATTCCAGTGCTATGTCCACACTAGTGCCATGTAGACAAGGTAGTCCAACCTTAGATCTGGCCAACACTGTATCTTACCAATATGTCAGCAACATCTTCTCTTTCGTTGACTGCCTCTCTGAAGCCACAAGATTCCCTTCTCAGGTAGCATTCACCTTTGTTTAAATAAGGGCGTTTGCATACCCGGGGTAACCCCTCAACTGTAGTCACTTCATCATTATGGGCTTCACCTCTCCTTATGAACCCCTAGTATATATATGTCCCCTGATAAGCCTATGAATACCAATCTACATTTTCAGAAGAGGGAGCTTTTTCACCAGCAGCAGAGCTGGCTTTTCCAGCAGCCACAGGACGTCTAAGCGAGAAGAATTAATAAAATATGATCAGTCTGAAAACTGCCTCAAGAGACTCGATATAACCAGAATTGAAGGAAGAAATAGATTAGGGAAGAGACACATAGACACTGACATGTTACTTTGAGGTAGAGTCTCCTTCCAGATTTCAGAAAGCTCATTTGCATGACCACTTCTTCACCAGGGTTGGAATGCCAATGAACTAATGCATATTAATTAAGCAATTGTCTTCATAATGGCTATGCATTTTTAAAAAATGCCTGAAGGTGTTCTATTCAAAGAAGCCATGCCTGAAATGTAGTTTTAAAAAATTGGACAAGTTTTAGACAACAAGAAAGCACTTTCCAGTCCCACTGATTTAAATGGGGAAAGAAACACATTTTTAAAACTCTGCCAACAACATCAATAAAGCTTGAAAAAGTTTAACTATCGTTGCAGCTACCTTCTGATTTAGATTTTTTTTCTGGCTAAGCCATCTGCTCTACTTCAAAAGATGAAGGTTTTGCAGGGGGTTTTTTGTTTGTTTTTTTAAAATTCTGTGGACTTCAAGGACGTCAGACCTTCAGAGACTCTGACATTTGTAGGTTGCACTCTTACAAAGAAAGTTCCACCCAAGCCAACACATATTGTTTCAAACAATAGTAGAAAACAAAATTCGAGGAATACCTTTGGTACTGCTCCAACACGAACACTGTTGATTAGGGAGCATTCTAAAACTTGCCCTTCCTGGAACAACAAAGGGAACTGCGCTTAAGCTCCAAAGCTGGGTGGAATACAGAAGGTCCTGAAACACTTCCCAAACACAGTTAAGACAAAGCAGGGCATCCTCCACTCATTTTGCTTTTAAGACAGGGATGGGGAACCTGGGGCTCTCCAGAGGTTGTGGGACTTCAGATCTCAGCAGCTCCAGCCAGCACGACCAATGGCCATGGCCAGGCTGGTGGGGTATGAGCAACCTCTGAAGAGCCACATGGATGCCCTCCAGGTTAAAGCATTCAAGCCGGTGAAACTGTTACTCCCAAAAGCATATGACAGTTAAATCAGTACAGAATTACATGAATTCCTCAACTACTCACCAGATCCAAAGTCTTTATTTCACCTCTCAACATCAAGTGTATAAATTATAGTCAGATATTGAGATAAAACCAAACAAAACACAGGGCAAGCTGACATGAATGCTGCACCAAGGCGAGGTCACAGTGGGAGGTGAGGAGGGAACCAAGGTGGGCCATTGCCCTGCATACTCCAATGCCCATCATCCAAGAAAAGGACAGAGAGAGAGGTAGCTCTCTAGGACCAGGATTCCCCTCCAGATGTGTTTGACTACAGATCTCAGCATGGCTGGCTGGGACATGCTGGGTGTTGTATTCCAACAGATCCAGAGGGGACCGGGATGGGGCAGCCTGCCTGAGAACATCATTAAGCCAACTATGTTGGCACAATTTGTGATCACGGCTGCACTCGGCCAATCTCACCCACACACATTTTCCCTTCAATAAACAGGTGATTGTTCGGAAGGGAGAGAGGCCCGAAGCATTTCCTTCCTCTTGAACTGGAAATAAACAGTGTATTGGAAATCCACTTCAGGGCCTGGATTTGCCCTCCCAAAGTAACAGGACAACTCTAAGTATGTTTACTCAGTTCCACTGTGTTCAGTAGGACTTATTCCAAGCAAGAGTGCTTAGGATTTATTTACTATATTTATATTCTGCCCCTGCAGACCATGGGGCTCTCTGGATGGTTTACAAAGAATAAAACATTTCTACAACATTAAAATACCTAAGATAAGATAATAATACAGTAAAAACAAGCACTAACAATAATAAGCAAGGAATAAACCCAACAATTATAAAAGTTAACCACCTCACGACAGCAGCAAAAATAACGGTATTAAAATATAAACATATAAAATTATCCATCTATTCTTAAAACAGCAGGTAAACAAAAAGGTTTTCACCTGGTACTGAAAAGATAACCAAGAGGGCACCAGGCATATCTCTCTGGAGAGCACAGTCCAAAGATAGGGTGCCACTACTGAAAAGGCCCTTCTGTTCGCCACCCCCTTTGATCGCAGCCCAAGGCCCAGAGACTTAGGAGTCATGCCTCACAATGTGTTATCACAAATATTCAGTGTGTGCTTCCAAGATGGGAGATTTCAGCATTTCATACAAACAACAATGACCTTGATATCACTCTGAACAGTACCTTTCCTTCACTTTTCCATGTTAGAAAAAATCCAAATTCATCCACTTTGAAGAGACAGCTTGGTTCAAAGACAAAAGATTCCTGTTGAAAGAGAAAAACAAAACATTCAGCTCATCAAGAAGTATTTGAAAAAGAGACACAACTTACCCAACATTTCTCCCCACAAATTTTAGCTCAGAAACAAAGTATTTCAAACATCATAAATTAGAGAGAGACTGAAAAGGCAATTTCTGCAGCCGGCACTATAAGCTCGCAGCCCCAAGAATCGGGCATACAGCTGCCTCTTCTACTGCCTTGTCAACAACAACCGCACAGGATTCTTAGGCTTGGCAGAACAATCGTCACAGAGAAGCAGCATGTGGGTCTGGAGACACTGCCGGGGATTCTGGGACAAGCGTTTTGGCTAAAACAAATAGCAGTTCCCCTTGGCTGTCAGCTGTAGGAAGCACCTCTACCATGTCCTTGCACAGCAGAGTGGTTTTGGATACCTGTGGGAGAAAGGGGAAAATGCCACCTCTCTGGCATGTATACTACAAGATGTATTAGCCATCAGAGACAGCCAAGCCATCCAAAGCCGACGCTTGTGCAAGCTGATTGTGGGGAAGCTGAATACCCATGCAGGTGGCATGAACCTCCAGTTCACGCCACGTGGGTTGCCTTCTCAATCTAAAGACATAATCTTTAGTCTTCTCAATCTAAAGACATGATCTATACAAAGGGAAGCAGTGCTACAGTTTCCTGCTGTACTAGCAAGGCATGGGGAAATGCTTTTAACTGGGACAACTTGAACCACTGTTCGCTCCATTTCAGTTTTACACAGCTATAATTACTTGGAGCCTAAAGCAGTCTTAACTGAACAAAAGTTTTGTCTCCACCATCTGTAGAGCAATGAAATTCCCGTTATGGATTTTGTTTCTTCACTAAGCTCTTAACCCTGCAATGGATTCTAAATATTGAGAAGTGATAAAATGCCTTTTAAAACAAATGTGTCAGCATGCCTGGATTTTAACTGGCATGTGTGCCTACAGTGCAATTATCTCCTTCCCCAAATAAAGTTTTGCTGTTCTCCCTAGTTTCGACAGCAACTGTCATAGAAGAAACAACTTACTCAGAGAAAAATGTACCAAAAAAGCCCAGGGCATTACTGGAATCAGAAAAGCTCCTTTCCACACAGAACAAAATACCTGCACGTTCATGTTCACAGAAGTGGTCAGCTTTCCTCCCCAAAGGTGCCATTCAACACACTTAAACAATGCAGCCTCAACCCTCTCGGCCAGGGGTACAGCCGGCACAAGTGTAGGAATTCCCAGAAGCCAGAACAGAGCCCGTTTTCTTTCCTTTCCCTCCTTCTTCCAGACAAACGCACGGGCATTCCAGACACCAGCCAGTTACAGAGAATGCCACATCCCTGCTACACCTTCAGCTGAAGATCACGAATTTGAGGAACAAGAGCTCAGTCCTTGATGAGAAGAGGAGTGGGAGGGGAAGGGAGGGGGATGTGAGGCTTCCCCAGGATTCCCATCCCACAGGAATAGGGTGTTGCCCACACACAGGCTGCATGGACTGGGAGGAATGGAGTTCACATGCAATGACAGCCTTCCCCATGACACCTGTGCTCCCATCTTTCGCAGGCACCATCACAAAATGGGTGCACGGAAGATAAAGCATCAGCCTGCAGCCAGCTTCCAGTCTGATTTCCTGAGAACACCTCTGAGCACTACCCGTGGCCCAGAGGCATTCGTGGGAAAAGCAGACAGGAGTAGCTAGAGGGTTACCCTCGTGTTATTTCACAGTGCTCCCAGCTGCTAGTGAGATTTTTTGAGGAGGAGGGCTCAGGCCCCTAGGCAGATGCCAAGAAAAGTGTCTGAGGGTGTCCTGGTCCCACAGGTGCCATGCTGCCGACCCCTTGTGCTACACAGTCCCTTCCAGATGCTACGTTCAGATGGAGCAGTTTGAAACCGTTCACTTGGTTCTTGTACCTGCTGGAGAACCCTTTCGCAAACAAGACATGTTTAGCAAGCCATTCGCATTCCCCTTTAGCTCATTTGCTGCTGAGATACACAAGGGTCAAGCCAGGCCTCTATCTGTCTTGGCAGGCCTGTATGTTTAAAAAAATCTTCCCTTCATTTCATGGGATTAAAGAATACAGTAAAATATTACTACAGGTATTTATTTGGACTTTTACAAAATCTGTTATTTGTCTTGTTAAATTAAGCCTCCAGATAATCTAACAAGTGCTTGATAGATTAACCAGAGATTCTGTTTATATGAAGCTAGTTAAAAGCACCAACAATGCCTGCCTATTAAATTCAGTAAAACAAACAGAAGGTCCAGCTATCTATTCCTAAAAAGGAACACTGACCACATGATTAAATAAAAGGAAACCATGCTCAAAATGTTATCTTTTGCAAACACAGTATGTTCCGTCCCACATTCCTTGGAGCTCATTTTTGATGAATTTACAGAGATGTGCAAATCATACCGGATGCTCTTGCAATAAGTGTGTTTTGTTTAGCGGAATAATCAGCTTTCTAAAGCCACTCTTGGATGCGATTTGGATCTCCTGATTTGGATTGGGATGAAGCTGGACTGGACTGGACTTCTCTGGTATTCATTATACTGCTGTCTGGTGAAGTGTTTTTCCCTATACTTATTTCTCAGTTTTCAAGATTGGCAACAGAGCTTTAGTTTAAATGCTGCACTTTCCATTATTGGTCCAACCATCCCACTAAACTAAAATTGTACTTTAACACATGCTATCATTTTGGATGATAAGTGTTACTTATTTACAAGCAAACAAAAAATGAAACAGATGTGAACAGCAGCAATGCAAAGATGGTCAGTGGCCTTCAGAATATCCAATCCAGAACAAACAGTAGAAATCTATGGATATACAGATTTATAGATACTTATAGATATATCTATGGATATATACTCCTATTCATTTTGTGTTATATGGATTCTGCTGAAAAAACGGTGATATGTAGTGAACTTTCCCAGTGTCTAAAATCCAGGATAATCCTTGAAGTCATGCCAAGACCATATTAACTTCAGCTTATTAGGAAGAGCAACACAGATAATTGCCTTGGAGTCGACTTCCCCAGGAATTCTGCAGATAAGGGCTGCTTCTGCTGTGAAAATTGAGACTGTTTGCTTTACTAGAGCAGTGTCATCCTCTACTATCTCCCGAATGGGAGGGTAGAGCCTGTGCATACAGCCCTGAAGCAGACAGAAACGTTATAAAATCCATGGCAAGAGGCATGGTCTCTCACTCTCGGCCAGGTGACAGCAACAGACATGTCACTCACCTAAGCAACTGGAGGACCAGAGAACACCCAGTGGCCTATTCCAGGGATCAAAACAGCCACAGAAAAGTGGAGTGTGAGCTGTCTTTCACTTCTTTACATTCTGCACCCATATTTCATCACTGCATTCAATAAACCATGCATCCTCTTTGAGAAAGGTTGTTTCATTTCTTCCTAAGTATCCTCAAATCTAAAATGAGGTGCCTTGGTTAGAGCAGGCCCCTGTGGTTAAAACACATTCCTACCTGATGGGACTTCTTTTTAGGTAGATCTGTAGAAAAGTAACACTTTTCAGCATCAGTGCTGATCAGTGACTGTTTCTTTCACACAAATTCATGGTGAAATTACATGCTTTGGAAGTATCCTTAAGCATTTTTCTTAACCCTTGACCATGTCAGCTGTTTGTGGATTGACACAAAAGTATTTTTTCACCATATTCAAAATTATCTGAACCAAAAGACTCAACCAGCGGGCTGAATTAATTTCAGAAATAGCTCTCAGGACCACATTCCAACATCCCTGTTAGCCATCAGACTTCAGGTTTCAAAGTTTTAATTCCGGATGGTTTAAGGACTCCTTACCTCCTCATATCTGTCAAACACAGCTCCGTCTTGTAGAAAGGATGGAACTGGTTTCTGCCAGTTAAATTCATATGGTTTTGCCATTCTGTTCAACAATCAGGCTGAAACAAAAACAAACAAATGAAATTAAACTTTGGCCACTAAACTGTAAGGCAGAAAAGATCAGAGAAGTTTATATTATTTAATGAATGATACACTTTAGTTCCTTATCATTAGCATTCCTTGTATGGCTGTTAATTATCCATTAGTTTATCCATAAGAAAAACACTCATTTACATGCAAATTTCTGTATCAAAAATGCATCAATCTGGCCAAGACAGGGGAAACTACAAATCAAAAATTATTTCCCTAAAGAAAAATCAGGGCATGCATTCTCACAAACTGATAACTGAAGAGACAGCACAAGCCCTCGTTATTTGGGCCCGCCTCCCTCTAAATAGGCTATACACAGGACGCTGCCTGCTACTAGGCCAGGTGTTCATCAGGCCCAGCAGCTCTTAAGTGGATGTCTCTCCCACTCTGCTGATCTGAACCTTTGGCATCCTCATGCCAAGTCTATGAACTGCTACAGGGTTATATGCTCTCTAGCACTTTCCTCAGGTAAAATGAGCAGGGTTTAGGTCCTGTGATCTGCCAAATAAGCTAGGACCAAACTAGATGTGACATCTATCACGTTATTTGGCCTTGTCCAGCTGACCTAAAAAATAATCAGTGAGGGATGAGGAGCACCATTTGAGCTGCAACATCTGGTGGGGGACTTTAACCCTTTGCCCTCACTATGATACCAATTGAAATGAGCTAAAGGTCTTCCTGGTGCTAATCTGGACCCCAGAGGACAGCAACAATTCCACATTAATTTTGCACAGCAACCATTCTAACACTGGGAGGAGTGAAGTTAATCACCTTTGCAGAACAAGCCATTTTGGAGAATTGAAAAAGGAAGGAACATGAATTAACCTATAGCAAAGCTACTGGGAAGTAACTGCACTGAAACCACCCCATTCGATTTATTTCTGAGCAAGCATGCTTAGGTGCACACTGTCAAGACAAGATGGTGCACAGAAGCAACACGGTGCCTGGCCCAGGGGTAGAACATGTGCTTTGCAGGTATAATACTCCAGGCCAATTCCCCATTGAAGGAATCTGAGATGATACGGGACTTGATGGGCCATGGCTCTAAGGTGGCTTTATGCATTTAAATAAACTGAAACCGTATTCTCATCAACTTCAGAATTAATTTGTACAGGGAAAAAGAGAGAGATTTTAAATTTTGCAGCTTTAAAAAGTTCTTTTTAAAAAAGTCAATATTTATATTATGATCTTCCTCTCCACATGCATGGGGCTGGATCCAGACTTGCCCTTCCATTGATAGTCGGCTCCTTCCCTTCACAGAAGGGATCAAGAACCAATCCAGTTAAAAGGCTGGGAAAAGGAAGCAATTTTTTACCAGTTTCTCCCTGCAGTTTGCAGCCCCATGCAGAGCCGCTTCACAGATGGCTGTAAGTGACTTCCCAGCCTTCCAGAGCAGCTTTTCAGGGAGCTGTAGGAAGCAGAGGAGAAAACCACAATTCCCTCTGCCTCCAGCAGCAGCTCTGCTGCACGGAATCCCACTCACAGGAATACTGAATCAAACCCATTTCCTTCAGCAAGCATCCAGCGAGAAATGCTTCCAGCTCATCAGGCTGTGGAATCTTTATAACTGAGTAAATTAGCGAAAATTATACTATCACTCATCCTCATCAGGCTCTGTGGCAGAAAATGTACCCCTGCACTGAGGTTTACGAAGATTCCCAGTACACATGGAAAGACCCAAAATTTCCCATAACTGGTCTGCGTTTACCCATAACTGAGATAACTGAGACCTTGGTAAATGATAGGGTAGAAAGGCTTTCGATGATAGATGGATAGATAAATGTCTGAGCTCTTGTACTGCAATCGATCATGCTAGGTGGACTAAACGTAGGAGATGAACTTCCATGAGTCATCCTTCCAGGGTGAGCATTGACCAGCCCAAGTGCCCAGTTTCCCTTGGGGAACTGAAAATTAAAGTATGACACCACTTCCTGTGTACAATTAATTTGGATCCAGACCAAGCTTGGACAGGACTTACACATGCTGCATTTGCCCTCTATTGCCAACCATCATCAATAACAAGCTGAAAGAAAACTGAAACGGAAACTGTGATCACTGTTTACTTCACTTTTCTTAAAGAAAAGCTTCACTTCTTTTCTTAAGCTTGGGAAGTTAGTAGTGTTTGCAAAGATCCGTTAGTCAACTAGAGCCTGTAACCTCGCTGAGCAAAGTCATGATGCCAAAACATCACCACAGTGAACACACTGAAGAAAGAAAGCACTTGGTAAAGATAAATATTGTGAGTAGTAGGGTAACAACACAATAGAAAAGAAGAAAGATTTGGCAATATATCGAAACTGTCCCGGCAATCACAAGGCACATAGAGGAAGCTACTACAAAGCAGTGGTGGAACTTATTTGTTAGAGCACTGGAAATCTCCTCACAAAACTTTCTGATAAATTTTCTACTTCTACTTTTTCCAGAATACTCTGGTCTAATATTTATACCCAGTCCTCCTCTTGGAACAGGGAAATCAAGGGTGGTTTTCTAAGCCAGAACTGATTTAATGAACTTGAAATTCACCATACAAACATTGCAAGGGGAGGGAAGTACCCCAGTACAACTTTGGCATCATGTCTGGATTCACACATCATGACAAGGTACCTTGCGTAGTTTCCATGGTGTGTGTGGGTTTTTTTGGCCTGGATGCACCTGATAGAAATTCAAGCTGTTTGTATGAAAGTCCTGCTTCCACCTTCCTTACTCGGTCCTCCCCATGTTTGCACACATCTCATCAGCCACCTTGCCCAAAATTCAATATCGTGTTGGATGAACAGGAGCACTCCTGCACCTGCTGCTTTCTTCGACGGACTCTGTGCTGGTTCACAGAGAATCCATGGTGCCAGGTTTGGATGTTCAAAGAAACCATGGTGAAGTGTGGAAACCAAAGAACAGACCTCCGATTCCGATTGCAGGATGTAAACATCAAACATACCACAAGGTTTGAAATAGTACAAGATTTGGATGAAAAGATGGAACATCCTGCACAGGACCTCCCTCCCCCATGGCTTGGGAAATGTTACTAGAGTACAGAATGTGCATAGAATGGCCTAAAATAAATAGATTCAGAATTTCATAGTGCAGGTATGATTTCAGCCACTGAAAACTGCTGTGTTAGCAGCCAACAAACAGCAAGAGAAGTACTTAGGATATACTGGATCGAGTCCCAAAATTTGGAGTTTTCACCATGTAGTCTAAATGCAACTTTCTCTGTTCTAAGGGAAGGCTGGGAGGTAAAAAAAACAAAAACCCAAAGGTGGAATTCGAAGTAGAATGCAGAGAATGGGCTTTTGTGCTTGTGTGAGGGGGTGGGAATTGATAAAGACAGAGCACATTAGCTTAAGCAAAAGCTCATGACCTTCAGATAATTATGATTTAGATTAGAAGTTAGCAAAGGAGTTCTGTGTTCCTTGGGGACAAGCAGCTGATACTCTGCCTACTAATGAAAAATATTTCAGACCTTTAAAGAAGGGCAAAAGAAATTATTGACAGTTCAGGGCATTCTCCCATTTTAAGTTTAATGCCAAGCAATTAGCTTTGAAAACAGATACATGAAAAAACATGTGCAATTGAAAGAGTGACAGATAACTCTTTGCAAACCTTTCCTTCTCATTCCTTCTCATCCCACAATCACCATCCCCTCCTTAAAATTTCTTGGGGATGAGATTCCAAGATGGCGTCAGAACGAGACGGATGTGATTAACGGAGTTCTGTTATCACGCCGGTATTACTTGGCAGCAAGTCGTGGGAGACTCATCTAAGCCCTGTCGGGGTGAAGACAGATTACCTGGGCATGCTTTTGGCTTGATGTGAGATGGCAATCTCGTACCTGCTGAGAGCAATTCAGGTACTTCTCAACCGAGTAACACAGGGGGTGGTTTCAGCCGCTTCAAGTTCTTGACATCTTAGAAGATTAACTTAGGATTTTTATTAGCCAGGTAAGCACTGGAACTGCTGAGTAAATATTTTTTACTTCTTTCGCAATATTACCCATGGAAAAGCTGCATTTGTTTATAATTTGGCATTAAGAAAAGAAAAACCTTCCGGATGTTTAGGCGGCGACTGAGATGAGAGAGTGCTGAGGCTTTTGTCCAAGTTTAAGCCGAAGAAAAAGACTTTTTCCTCTAACCTCTCTAAGGGTATAAAATTAGTTTAAAATTTTAAGGTGCAATTACGTGATAGAAGTTCAAAGCTTTGACCGATCATTTTGGATATCTGTTTGGACTTCTGTCAAGATCAACTGGACACTCGCCAGGATATTTTTCACATCGTTGGATGCTTTCTTTAATGTGACGACTGTTTGGGTGAGCATTCCTATTTTCCTTTTGCAATACTACTTGTGGAAAAACTATATCTGTTGTTAATTGGCATAAAAAAGGGAGAAAAGAGGAAGGATATAAGAATCTCCATTTCGTCTCCTGCATTTTTGGGACCTCTGCCAAAGCATTTGGCAACTTGCTAACCTTCTGACCCTAGTTATCTAGAGAAAAGAAAAGTGGAACTGATCTTGGCTGCCACTTCGTGGCTATTGGAATTATTGCAATGATGGAAGAGCTGCAGAGATTTTTTTTTTTGGAAATACAAGAATCTTTAACAACTTTACAAATATCCCAAGAGGTGATGTTGAGACAACAGGAAATCTTCTCAACTGTACAAAAAAAGTGCTTTGATAAACTTGATGCCTCTTTTAGGGAGATGGGGATTGATGTAGAATCCGAAACTGAACAGAATATACAAGAAATAAAACAAGTATATGAAAAATTTGAAAAATTTGAAACTGTGGATAAAAAGAAACAAATTTGGCCACTAAAGGAAGGAATTTTTTTTTTGAAGGATGGATGGATCCTGAATTAACTAAAATTGATTCTGAGGAAGAAGAAACAGTGAAAGTTGATTTGCAGCAAAAAACACAGCCATTGGGAATAAACACTGACCTACAAGAAATGCTACAATCACTGAAGATAAAGCA